ACACTGAATGACAGAATAGAATTGAAGACCTAGGCATAATTCTACATTCCTACAGACACTTGATTTTTGACAAAGAAACTGAAAATACACCCTGGTGTAAAGACAGCATCTTCAACAAATTATACTGGTCAAACAGGATGGCTGTATGTAGAAGAACGAATGTAGAATACTATCTATCACTCTTCAAAATACACAACTCCAGTTGGATCGAGGACCTCCATGTAAGACCAGATGCTATGAGTCTGACGGAAGAGAAAGTGGGGAGTAGGCTTGAACTTATTGGCAGAGGAAAGGACTTCTGAACAGGATACTGACAGCATGGGCACTAAGATCAACAATTAATAAATGGAATCTCATGAAGCTAAAAAGTTTCTGTGCAGCAAAGGACATGATAATTCAAATAAAGTATCAGCTTATAGAATACAAAAAATCTTTATCAATTGTACAGCTGAAAGAGGATTAATATCTAAAATATATAGACTAACAGCACTCTGACACCAAGGAAACAACCCAGTTAAGATGGGGTACAAAAATAAGAGGAGAATCTTCAAAAATGAAACTGAAATGGTGAGAAATATTTCAGAGAATTCTAAGTTCCTTTGTCATTAGGGAAATGCAAATCAAAACTATTTTGAGATTTCATCTTACTCCAGTAAGAATGGCCAAGATCAATTAAACAAATAACATCACATTCTGGTAAAGATTCAGGGAAAGAGGAACATTTACTCATTACTAGTACAAGTACAAACTGGTTACAGCATATATGGAAATCATTGCAGAAGTTCCTGAAAAATCTACATATCATTCTCAATCAAGTTCTAGCTGTACCTCTTTTGAGAAAATACTTAAAGGACTCTAAATCCTACTACCGAGATATATGCTCACTCACAAGCATTGACTCATTATAGCCTAAAGCTAGAAATAGTCTAGATGTCCCATACTGAAGAATGGATAATGAAAATGTGGTACATTTATACATTCAGATATTATTCACCTATTAAAAAGAATGCAATTATGAAATTTGCAGGTAAATGAGTTAGAAACAACTATTCTGAGTGAGATATCCCAGACCCCAAAAGACAAATATCGTGTTTTCTCTTATACACAACAATGTGTGTTTTAATAGAGTAATGATAGAAGTAAGGTAGGACCAAGGTGTAAGGGGGATCTTCAAGGAAGGAGACATAGAATATAGTTTTATAAAGAAATAAAGGGCAAACTAGGAGGTAAAGGAGGGAATATAGGGAGGGACAAGTAACACTAATAACCATTTGAAAAGCCATATGGAAATACACTTCTATAGAAGCTTCCTAAAATACATATGAATATATGAAAGAAATTTAATGGAGTCACCATATAGTGTGGGAGGCAATGTCCCAATTAAATATCTCATGCCACCAAGTAAAATCTTATGTACTAGGAATAGGTCACATTTTTTTCTTTGACCCAAAGGACCAAATGCTTGCTGTAGACCATCCTCACAGCCAGATATAACAGGCAATTTCTAAGCTTATTGGTTACTCCATACAACTTGATTATAAGGACTTTTGTTATAAAACATAACACTTCTGTCTTTGAAAAACCAAGCTGGTACCTAACTGGAAACTTCATCCCTACTGTAGAGTTCATGGTGCAAGGTATTCTGTGCACTACCAGAGGACAAAAGTAATAATATCACTCAGCTATCGCCCTGTAACTGACATCAGTGACCTGTATAAAAGATACCAGTAAATAGTGGCCCAAATGTTATAGAAGTCATCAACTACATTTTTGTTTTAAGATCCATTCCAAGAGATGGGACCCATTTCCAATTCTGCTAAAATGGTTAAGAACCTATTACTAGATTGGTCATGTACTTATGGGAAAATCTAAAAATACTATTATGCTAAAGGAACACAGCTCTAAAATGACTCCTAATGATACACTGCTATACCCATAGATGAAAGTATTGCTCAACCCCAATCAGAGAAGTTTCTTTTTGCAGTAGATTGGAATTAAAACAGAGACCCATATCTGGTCTATGTTCAGAGAATGAGAGACTTTTGAGCACTAAGTACTAAGTGGCATGTCTTCATCAAACCCCTCCCCTCAAGGTTCAGGTATCTACACAGAAGGAGAGGCGAAAAGATTGTAAGAGCCAGAGGTGGTGGCTAACTCTATGAAAAGAGTGTCTTCCAGATACAACATGAATGATACATATATGTATTCACAGAGGGTGTGACAGCATGTATAGAATATGAACAAGTTCAGACTAGACAAAAGTGCAGCATAGGGGAGGGGAAATGGACACAAAGTCCCACCCTCAGTGCTATTTGCAACTGATTCTTGCTGGGAAAGGGAAAATCAGTTTTCTTCACTGGAATGTCACTGGGTATGTCAACTACAGTCTGGAGCAGGCCCATGCCTAGGAGTAATTGATAACATAAAACAGACTCCATAGTGTATGTGTGTGTGCAGGGGCATGCACACATTTTGTTTTGTTTTGTCTTTTTGTTTGTTTATTTTGATTTTAACTTTTTGTATTATTTTGTTTTTTTAGAGTGGGGAGACAGTGAGTGAACACACATGCAGTACAGTGGGTAAGGACATAGGAAGAAACTGGGAGAAGTTGGGGAAGAGGAAATAATATGATCAAAATATATTGTATGAAAAAATTGTCTTTGAATAAAGAAATACTTGAGGGATGAGTGGATGTGACTGTAAGTTGGTTTATCACCCTGAAATTGTGAAAATACTCTAATCTAAAATGACATTAGTTTCTAAAGCAATGAATAAACAAGAAACTCAATTGCAACTTTTAGTAAGCATAATTAGGGAAAACAAGACAACTTTCCAGTACGAATGAGGAAACCCATGTTAAGATTTCTTAATCTATATATTTAGTAATTTGTGATCTTCATTTGACATTTTTCACTAATGTGACTTTAATGCTAGTTTTGACTCTTTTAATTGAATCTGTAGAAAAAAGATATCAGCTGGGTGTTGGTGGTGCACACCTTTAATCCCAGCACTCAGGAGGCAGAGGCAGGCCGATTTCTGTAAATTCGAGGCCAGCCTGGTCTACAGAGTGAGTTCCAGGACAGCCTCCAAAACAATACAGAGAAACCCTATCTTGAAAAAACAAAAAGAAAAAAAAAGATATCAAGAGAAGCCATACCCTGCGTGCCTCCCCCATCACCCATATGCTTTTTAAATTGTCAACATGATACAACCTAGTGTCAACTTGGAAGAGGGAACCTCAACTGAGGGACTGTTCAGATCACACTGGCCTGGGGTCATGTGTGAGACACTCCTTTGATTGGTGGTTGGTGTAAGGGCCTTGCCCTCCGTAGGCAGCAGCCATTCCCAGACAGGGCCTTGCCCTCCATAGGCAGCAGCCATTCCCAGACAGGTTGTCCTGGGATGTGTAGCAAAGCTAGGTCAGAGAGCAAGCCAGTAAGTAGTGCTGGAATTGGCTTTCTTCTTCAGTTCCTGCTTGAATTCATATTTTTAACTTTAATTTTGTGTGGATAAGTTTTCTCCATAAAGAGTGTGCTAGATCTGTGGGAAGTGGAGTTATGGGTGGTTGTACAGTGCTGTGTGGGTTTTGTGACCTGAACCCCAGTCCTTTGCAAGAGCATCCAGTTCTCTTAATTACTGTATTATTTCTCTAGGTTAGCCTACACCTCCAGCTTGAATTCTTGTTCTGACTCCCCTCAATAATAGATTGTGTGTCCTGGAAGTGTAAACCCGATAAATCCATTTCTGTTCCACTTTGCTTTTGGACTGAGTGTTTTATCACAAGAACAGAAAGCAATGTAAAACACCCTGGAAATACTAAAGTGCCTACTAGTTGTTTTTTCATTTTTAGTGGCTCATTGACAACAATGATTTGATATCTTTCCCTTAAAATAACTTTTATTACATGCATGATTGTTACATAATAAACTTTTCATTACCTTAAGTATCAACATTACTTTTTTAACCCTAGCATACTCTGTATAGATGGCATAAGATGCCAAGTGTAGGTAGAAGGGTTAATTGTCATGGGGACTACACCAAGAGATGAGATAGAAGACACTTTACTGCCGTGACCAGAGTTAGGTTCAGAAGACAGCTAGAGGTATAGGCAGGTGAATGGGGAAAATGAACTAATCTATTAGACATTAAAACAGAGGACCATAATCAGGAATCAAACTCAGTGAGGATACCTCACAGCAGGGTTCATGATCTGGAGTGTGCCAGTAGGAACAACTTGTGAGGAAATTGATAATGCTTTGTAATGAGGAATTCCTGGTTATATTTATTTTATCATATTTGCTCAGGGGAGTCAAACAGTTCCTGGTAAACCTTGGTAGTCTAGAAGATGTTTAGTATTTTTCCTGTGTGCTTTATTGGATTCTTCAAAGCATAAATATAAGCAGGTAAAGATCTTTGAAGAAGTCTCCTGAGATACTGAAGATGTTTTCAATAATCCAGTTGGAATCTTATTTTTTCAACATTAATTTTATGGAAAATACCTTTGGAACTACTAGATATTGTGAGGAACCTGGATACTTGGGATTATGGGGGATACTTTGTTACTAACTACCTGTCATGGTAGCCTGGTGCATACTGGATCTAAAGACAGCACATAACAATCACATATTTTGAAATGTTCATAATAGAGTTTCCTCCAGGCAGAAAAGAAGCCAGTCACAAATGGGCGCTTACCTGGTGTTATATTAGTGATAGAAGCTTGACTAGTGTATGTGATTGTATATTTCATTCCTTTAGGTTCACCCATATTATGCTAGCCTTATAAAGATAAGGACTCTAAGCTAAACTTCTAAAACATCGCCTAGATCATTTGAATGAAGCTATCATTCCCAAGCCTTGCAAATTGGCTGCCTTCATCAATCTAGTGATGACTGAGCATGACATGCAGACTTCAGTGAACTGACACACATGGAACAGAGACTCTCTGCTGGGTGGGCTCCAATATGAACAGAGGGTACCACCCAAGTCCTGACAGTCCATACCTGTGAGCCTTCTCAGGACAGTGCCCAGTTTGGGAAGAATCAAGTTGACCTTTGTCCTGGGTCATTGCCAACTTTTCAGCTGCAGCAATTGGACAACCTGAAAGACTGTTTGAAGAAAGAAGAGTTGGCAGAGGTGAGTGTGACAATGTGGTCTGCCTTGGCACAGGCACACAGCACCCTTGGTACACAGCAAATGTTGAGCCATATTAATAGTTCACTTAGCACCATTGTCATAAAAAAGATCCCAAAGGGTTTGCAAACTCCTAGCTCCATCTAAGAGGTGACAAACAGTGAACACCTTTAAAGAAAATCAATGTTATATAATGGGGAAATGTCAAAGGGATTCTGAAACTCAGTATTTTAAGTTCAGCACACTCATTACCACACACTGTTGTCTGACTACAGAACTCAGCATGAGAATTACATGATTATTTTAGAACTTGAGTAAAATTTTAGAAACTACATTTTATATCTTAGTTAAATTGAAAGCACAAAAATGAAATCTTTTGGTAGTATTCTTATAAGCCAAACCATAGCTCATAACCACAACTCCACAGGTAATATAAAATATGCACAGAAAAATAAAAAGATTCAGGAAAGATGACTCTGTGGTTAAGAACACTGACTAATTTCCCAGAGTACCTGGGTTTGATTCCCAGTATGTGTGTGGCAATTCATAACAATCTATAACTCTATTACTAGGAGAGACCACAACATCTTCACATATGTAGTACAGAGGTATACATACAGGCAAAATATACATACACATTAAAAATACATGATAAAAATAAAATAAAAATTCACTTAAAATATGCATATGTACATACCATGTTTGCATATTAATACACACAATGTGCTTTATTTTAAATTTTAATAAAAATGGGCATATACCCCTTGCATGGTTTAGACTCAAGGCCATGTACTATATAATGAAGCCCTTCTAAATGTCTGCTGAGCGGGATTCTGATAACCCATAAGGAATGCTGATGCCAACCTCCAATGTCCATTTGTGCTGGTGAGATCCAGGCAGAAAAGAATGTGCCATGTTTGTGGCTGTATGGTGTTGGAAAATGAGCATATTCAGATACAACTATTTCATTATTTTAGTTGTATCTGAAGTATGTAGATTTTCCCGAGATTGAGAATACTTGCTAGCTATTTGAAGAGGTAACATTTAATAGTGACATAACAATTCTCGTAACACATGGCATAGTATTTCATTTGTGGGAGTTTCTTTTGCATTTTGCAATGTAAATTATTGACAAGTCATCAGAATTACCTTCTGTGAGTGTTGCGGTTGCTGTTCACATGTCCCCTTCCTGTGCATCCTGGGGTGGGACATTTGAGCACATTCTCATGCATGGCAAGAACTAAGCACAAAATATCATGTTAAAGGGAAGAACAGTGTACCATACAGACATACATATTTACGTCTCCGTTCTACATTCAAATGATTTCAGATAGGCAGTCCACCATGGTTCTTCCTGGGATGTATTCATAGGGAACAAAAGCCCTTCATAACTTCAGAAAGGAAACCCAGAAAGTTAGTTCAGATCTAAACTGCTCTGGCTGCCAAACAACATTAACCCAGATCCCCTTCCACAAATGGTTCTGCTCTCAGTCAATTGAGGAACTGTTCTGTGTAGTTCTGGGGCCACACACGTGTGCTGGGACAGAGCCTGCTGCCTCTCTCATCTGACCGGAAAGGCTCATCACCCCCACCTTTCCTTCTAAGTACATTTGTCTCCAGCAGCAGAGAACTTGTTTCCCCACACAGCTCTTTCAGTCCTTTCCCTATAACCTGGAGGGAAATTCTGCAGGTAGCCTTTTCTATTTCTTAAGTGTGTTATTTGCATCTGTCTATCCACCCTTCCCTGCCAGGTGACTACAGGTAAGAGTAAGGCTGAATGAGGGGTAGGCCAAGGAACTGCTAATGCTGCAGCTTGCATGGGTGGGTAAAACCAGTGACTCACCAAATCCTGACATCTTGGTGATGTTAAGGGATCCCAACTTTTACCCATGGGGTAACCCAAGAACTGTCCCAATAACAAGACGAGGAATTGTGTAACATCCCAGTATTTTCAGCTAGTCCTTCACTTCTACATCCCAGAGCATGAAAGAACTATGGGAGGGGTGAGGGAGGAAGAGGCTGCTGTTGCTCTAGGGGCGCAGATGTGACAGGGCATCCTGAGAGAATTCCAAGGAGCATGTGATCTCATGGCGGGGTCAGGTCAGGAGGTCCCTACATCTAAAATTACTATTCCTGAATTTTCTAATATACTATATTTTAAAACAAGAGCTAGACTGGACATGGAAGGAGAGGGGCAGACAAGGGTTACATTAGTCAGACCTTGCTTCAATATCAGAATCAACAAATAGACACAAACACCTCACATAGTTATATGGAAATTGCTTAAAGACACATGGAGGTTAAGATTACATTTCTATTCCCAATTCTGACCAGATGGAACAGAGGATAGCTTTGTGAGGCTGTACTGTGTGTATGACAGCATAGGTGTGTCCTCAGGATAAGGAATACTCACTTTCCAGAGGAACTCGCACTTTGTGGGGGCACCCGGAAAGGCTGCGGTGGTGGGGATAGAGCCCAGTTACGTGCCCTGTGCCGTCACAGCCAGGGATGGGGCACTTGGCCTCCCTCCTTTCAGGCCTTGGTGAATCTATAGAGAAATTGAATGGAGACGCTCACATGGTGCTTCTTCCTCATCATTCAATAGAGTGGCCTTGCGGGGGTCACCAGCACTCTATTCAGTTTGCCATCATGAACATTCTTCTTACGCTGCCTTGAATAAAACCCTCAACTAAGACCCGTGGAAGCAAAACACATTTTCAGTTTTCTTGGATTCCTAAGCAAAAGCTGACACAGGGCAAGGGACTGTTAAAATACAGAGATGATTTTAAGTTGTCATATCGCATATTGTAGTTAAGTCTTTATTATGAAAAGTCACCCTGTGCCAGAAGGTGAACATGCTCCTGAAAAGAAGAAAAGAAAGAAGAAAAGCGAGAAAGGAGAATTTATTTAACCTCAAGTCATCCTCTATTGAGAGAGTTTAGAGAAAGGCAGTTTTAAAATTATGAAACAAAGAGCCCACCATATAGGCCTCTCCGGCTTTGTCCTTGTGGGTCCCTGGCAGCCAGTGAAGTTGGAAGTGGACCAGCTACTCGCGTACCAGTTGAGCTTGCTTTCTGCAGAGCAGCTGATGGGAGTCAGTAGGCTGTGTCAACCAAGTGAAAAAAAAAACAAAAAGCCAAGATTTTGAGTCCCCTGGGGACTACCTCTCAGGTGTAGTGAGGTGACCACAGAGGGAAGCAGTAGTCACTGCTGCAGAGATTCAGAACTGAGGTTAGGGGAAGCTTTTGGAGGGAAATGTTCTAGTGAGCATCAAGGAGATGGAAGTACAGAGAGCAGGGCTCCCAGCTATCAGAGGGCTCAGGATCTGGGATGGGGGGCTCCCAGAGTGACAGTTGTCACATGGTAGGAGCCCAAGATGGGATGGATGAAGATAATCCCATGAGTCAGGGTGTGGGTGACAGAGGTATATAATTGCATAAGATTAATGAGTGCAGAATAGGAGTGTGGATGAGGTTGACACCGACACTCACAGACATACGCATACACTTGCATAGGTGTACACACACACATGCCTGTGCAAACACACATGTGCATGTATGCACACAGACACACGCACATGTGCACACACACATGCATACACATTCACATCCATGTGCACACATGAACATACACATACACACATGTGCATTCATATAGCAATACACATGCATACACATATGGCCAACATGGCAACTATACTTGACATAAATTCAATGTTATGATCCAAACTGCCCCAACTTGTGCCCAGGATACTGATGAGGAGAAAGTGTGTGTGTGTGTGTGTGTGTGTGTGTGTGTGTGTGTGTGTGTGTGTTTGTTTGTGGTCAGAAAACTAGGAGTATGTGAGTCCTCAGAGAAAGAAGCAACGCGATGTGGACCAACAAGAATACTGAGCAGGCTTGTGGCCCATGGTGGCCATAAGTAACCTATAGGACCCTGCTTATAAAGCCACTGGCCTGGAGTAGGGGAAAGGGCCTTATCATGTGGGGATGGGAAGTCTACACCATCCTGCTCTAAAGAAACCACTCAGAACAGGCCACCGAATGGGATGTGTCAGACATCTCCATGGCACTACACTGCATGAACAGACATGTCTCTGTGATACCAAGTCACTCCAGTGGTTAGATTACAAGCAGTCCTAGGCAGATGGGGCACAGCAGGCTGTGTGTAATCCAATTACATGGGGGCATGGTTTCAGTAAAGAAGGAGAGGCTGAGGATCCTCCAAGTTGTAGCCAGCACTGACAGTCCCAGACAAGTCAGGAGGCTGGAAACAGAGCTGCGGGTACACAGAGAACAACCAATGACAGGGGTGCCCAGGAGACAGCATTATTAACTAAAGACAAGAATTAACTAAAGTGACTGAGGTGTGTGTGGTGATGGGATTGCTCCTTTCTGTACTCTATAAGATAAAAAAGTATTAAGATTGTGGTATTCTATGACTTTGTGCATACAAGTTTTACTTAACAGCAATAATGCCAAGTTTCAAGTCCATTTGGGCATGCAAAACCTGTAGGCAATTGGTCAAAGTCTTTGAAGTTTGATAAACATTAAGTGAGGGGTTTGACACCATTGCAAAGCACGACTCACAGAGGAGAAAAGCTACTGTGTCTATTTTGATGTGCTTCCTCTCTTGGATCTTGTCCACAGGATACCAAATTTCTAAGCACTGACAGGGCTGGCGGTGAGCACTTCCCCTCTCCAGCACACTGGGTGTCTGAGGGAAGCCAGAAAGGGTGTTGGAGATAACGGGGCTGGCACCTGCCCAGCTAGGGCCCACTGACAGTCCACTATGCACCTTTGTCTGCAGCTCTCTCCTGGGTCTCCCAAAACAAAGCTGCAGATGAAATGCTCTGGAGGGCAGAACCTGTTTGCACGATAAGAAACCCGAGCACAGGCTCAGGGCAGCTGCTCCGCCTGCCTCTTCTTTCATTTTCTTTGTATAGCACTACACAATGAGGGGACTTCATTCTCTGGTGCTGCTGTGTCCTAGTTTGCCTGGGACCATCCTCCTTCATACCAGGCAGACTTGCCCCATTGTTCCTCTGGCTCCTCTTACTTGACAAGTGCCACACGATAGGTAGCATACTGCCTACACGGCAGCCTCATCTTATAACATTCCTTGTCGGAGTTTAACAAACTTACTGTAGCATTGCTAGCTCCTCTGTAGACTCTGTAGACAGCATGCTAAAATCCTAGCGTTCTGTCCTTAAGAGGGGAGTCGATGACCAAAGTATCCCCCAAATCAGAATAGTATTCTAAGAAGAGGGCAGATGGTGACTTGAATGATCACTTACAACATCGAATGAGGGTAAAAGAATAATGTCCCCAGACTTCTGGTTCTAGCAGCATTGAGGAGTCGGCGTGTGAGTTCAGAGTGCAGGCTCTACAGGTATCAATATCAGTGCACACACAGCAACATGGACCCTACCTTCCATCCTTGTCTCAGCTGAGCCTGGTCAGCTTTCAGGGAGTCTAAACCCTAAAGCAATGCCAGGCCTGTCGCCATAGGACACACTGTTAATTCTTCTAGTCTCCCCAGTAGTGCCCTAATCCACTAAACTACCAAGGGTTGCCATACATACACTAATGTGTTATTAATTTTGAAAATATAAGATGGTTTTAAAATGTTATACAATAACCAAAAGATCACCAAGCATTTTAACATAAGGTTAAATAAAGTTTCTACAAACATGGGATTTCACTGCCTGTAAAACATCATCAATTGTAAGCTGAAGCATTATTTTGTAAGTGAATTAAAAAGTAAAAAACTGAAAAAAAGTAAAAAAAAAACTGAAGGTCAAACTGTTGCATGATCTTCTGATTTCAGGGATGTTAGTGGGGGAAATACAAACCTTAAAGCCAACAAAATATGACTTGGAGTGAATTGCATCCCCCTGTTCAGATTTTGTAGTTTTTCTTTTTAAAAAAGGTAAATAAGGAAAAAATTAAGAAACTGCATACGGATAGAAATGCCCAGAGCCATAACAATGTCCCGTCTCCAACTACACATTCTTATTAACACCCAGTTCCCATTCACACCCATGCAGAATGTTTATAGAGCAGCAGCATCTCCCTTACTATACTTAGTCTTTTAGTTTCTCAGAGTTGCAAGGCATGATTTGTTAAGTGGCAGGTAAGTATCAATAGGTATTTAAAATTACCAAACAATTCACTTCTGGACCCCTTTTCCCAGTCAGAACTTCTGACCACACAGACAGCATTCCTCTAAGCCCTCAATGTCAATGACCATGGTATTACCTCATGTCTTTCCCTAATTCTGTGGTTGTCAGATTCCAGGGCTCCAGAAAACTTTGCTAAAACAAAAACAAACTTTGGAGGTCTAAATCTGATTGGCCCCTGGACATACTCATGTTAAGAGTGTCTCTGGCCAGACTTTGGTGGTGCACTCCTTTAATCCCAGCACTTGGGAGGCAGAGGCAGGCAGATCTCTGTGAGTTCAACGCCAATGTCAGGAGAGTGCCAGGAGAGGCTCCAAAGCTACACAGAGAAACCCTGTCTCAAAAAATGAAACAAAAACAAAAAAGGTTCTGTGGGCACCTGTGGATGACTGGGAATAGCCACTCACAAACATTAGGCTTTGAGCATGAGAACAGGCATAGTCCTCCACCATGGAAGATGTATCATTCCCCTGATATTGGAAGAGCAATCCAACATCTTCTCCAAGCACATTCCCTCTTCAATTTAAGTCTGATCCAGGTACGGATGAGCTCGTACTGGCGAGCTGGGAAAGCACCATCTTACAAATATATTAACATCTGGTGCAATCATGAGAAGGCTCAGAACACCCTTCTTGGCTTACAAGTACTGGAAAGCAGCCCCCTAATTCCAGAACAAGGGCTAGAAATAAAAATCAAATTCTAGGCTTGATTTATCTAATAAAATATGTTGAAGTCTCCTAAACATGTCCAGACAATAACTGTTAAAAGGTTTGGTATGATTCTGAAGAGCTAATTCAAGAGAAAATCTGAAGGGATAAAAGGCTTCGGGTGTTAAGACACCATAGTACCCACAGACCCTGAGCTGACAGCAAATGAGAGTAAGAAATGCACGTTTCATGATTATTACTTGATTTTTAAATTACATTAAGTTGTCAAAAAGCTAAGCTAGAAGGAATAGGCACATTTAACATTTTCAAAGTCTAAACCAATTTTCTTCCTGCAATGAATATAAAAATGCACTTACGTTTATTGTTAAAGATTTCTCTTCCACCAGTGTCAGTAACCTTGGTTTGCCTCCGTTCTCTCGCCAGGTGGTCCAGAAGAAAGCGGTCCAGCTCCTTATAGGTGTGATGGAAGACAGAACCTCGTTCTGCCTGTAAGGCAATAGCCTGCTCCAGCAAACTCAGGTTCCCCTTCACTTTCTCCATTTCTCCAGGCTCCTCTGTTACTGGGACCAGGCTCTCACCATCTTCAGCCTCTGGGAATGAAGGCTGGGCTTTGTTGGCCTCGGGTTCCATGTATGAGTTCTGTGGGTCTCTCCCATCTGTGTCAGAACCACGCCTATTCTCATAAGGGGAAAATCTGTCACCTTCAGCTTTTATCTCAGAAACCTCCAACAGGTCCTTTTTAGTGTATGTCAGCTTGTGTCTGTGGCCTCTGTGGTCAATGTCTTCTGATGAGTTGGAGCCACTACCCCACCCATTCTCTGCACTGTCAGAGTCACTTCCACTGTCACCAGAAGAGCAGAAAGGTGGCTGGGAACTGTGGACTTTGTCTCTTCCATCATCTGAATTGATCATAAAGCACTCATCTGCCTCATCACTCTCTGCTTTTAAAGACTGGATGCCACTGTCATTTAAGTGCTCACCTATGGTCTGCCCAGACACATTTTCTTCGAATTTTCCTAAGTGCGTTAGAGATTTAACCGTGAGCTCTGGGTAACACATGTACTGGTCTTCCTTTTGGAGTGAGCTTTCTTGTGCAGGTGAATGAAGGGTCTCATCCATGGGCTTTACCATGATTCCCTCTACAAAAAAAGAAAACAGATGTTGGAAAACAAAACAAAAATGTTTAAAGGGCCTGATCATAGTGGCAGGAGTCTGTAATCCCAACACTTAGGAATCAGAGGTAAGAGGCTAGCAAGTTTAAGGCTAGTCTGAACCACAAGAGAGATCCTACCTCTAAAAAGTAACCGATCAACCAAATAAGGAAGCAAAAATTTTTAAGGAACTTCTATAACTATTCATATACATGTGTAAATGTATAAATGTATATGTATATGTACATGGATACTGGTATGTATAATGGGTAAGTGTAATGTCTATTAATTTTACAAACAGTAATGAGAAAAATACAAATGAAATAAAACAAGCTTAGTGCTTCTGTAATCTTCTGCATCTGAAGAGCTACGTCCTTTTAGGGTACTGTCATGACAGAAGTTGGTACTTTGGCAACACAGCACTGCACAGGAGGCTCCTGCTGTTGCACCCTCTTACATTCCTACATCTTAGCAGCCAGGAGGAACTTGAATACGTATGTGACACGCTGCAGAAAAATGCTCATTACATTTCTCTGGATCATGGCAATGTATTTTTAGGGCTTATTTGAATTTTATTCTCTGTAGTTTCTCAGGAACATTCTCAGATTTTTGCAATGTTAACTAAGACACAAACACCTCTACCCACAGACTGTAACAGAGGGACTATGAAGCTCTCAAGTCTCCCTGCTCATTTTTCAGTGTCACATTACAATTCTATATTAAGGGAAACATACATGGGATAATCATCAGGCTTAGATATTTTGAATGGTAATGCATTTTCTTGTCTGACATGTGCATGTGTTTGTGTTATAAAGAAAGTAGATGAGGGAGAGTTGCTTGAGGGTGTCAGATATGAGCAACTTGGGTCTTGTGACCAAGAGAAGACCTCCAAATGCCCAAATCAGTGAAAAGTATTCATCGGTATCGCTCCTTTACTTGTCTTCTGTATGTATATATGAATGTATGCATGCATGTATACATGCCTGTATTGTTTGTACATATTGTGTATGTATGTATGGTCAGTTCACCAAAGCTGCACCAATGTGAACTATTCAAATGAACGTATGGATTCTCAGTGCACACAAGGCTGTGAAATGCACCAAACTGCCCACCAAGAATCCATTGACATCCACTAGAACAACAACAACAAAATCAAACAAACAAAAACCACAACCATTTCTACATTTCAAAGACAGGTGGGGGAAGGAAAACATAAAATGTTAAGCCCCGTTAAATACTGTTAGAGACACCAAATGAAGAGCATTCTGTGTTAATAAACATCTTTGAAGGAAAGTACAGCCATCAGTGGGAAGCTGTGGGAGAGGGTGTCTGCCTAGAAGACAATGTGCATTTTTGTGTCTCATTCAATTTTTTATAAACATTGTCTCTGACAAGGACACTCAAAAATACATCTCCATCATCTTCCTTTCTGGTAATTATCTCCCTAAATCAACACTGGACTGCCAGGATCAAGTAAATATTGCCATAGTAACTAAAAGCATTTTTGGATGCAAAGAAGAATTCAGTCACAACACTAGCCCCTGTAAATAATGCTGATTATAGGGTGTAGTCTTTTGTTGGGATCTATTCAACACAAACTGAAAAATTTAACATTTCAGTTCCTAGAAGAGAGGCGGGATAAACAAGCACATAACGCTGATAGGATGGGCCTAGCCTCTCCTGAATCTGCATCAGAGCAGCTCCAGCTTTAAATAATATATTAAACATAGTCTAAAATGCAAATGAAATTTTTCTCAATATCACAGTTGGCTATTAAGAGAAAGTGTAAAGGGTTATGATAATTTTAAAGTATTATGAACTACAGAAAACAAATAAAAAGCATTTTCAGTGAATATGCTCAATTCATTGAACTATTCTCTCACTCCACTTAACTACCCACATGTGTACAATAATGATTTATAGACATTATACCTAATTATGCATATTTGGGCTGTGTTAGAGTGCTAACAAAAGCTCTAGAAAGCAACAATTACCTCTGTTGCTTAGCTACATAGTTTAAAATATTCCTATTAAGTGCAGATCACCAGAGAGGCGGAGTGACAAACCCGCACATGTGCACGACAATGCACTTCGCTGAGTGACTGCCAACTGCTTGCATTTTGGGTCATTTCCAGTTTACATCATTGTTTGGTTCAACTGTTTGTTACATGCTAAAAGAAAATATTTATTAATTATTCTTCAGAAAGAGAGAAGCCATTAGCGAAGGGTGCCCACACTGTCATACACACTGGTTTCTAGGGATAGTCTAGGCCACAAATCAACACTCCTTGCTCTGAAAAGCCTTCCCAGATTTCTCTCTGGGTGTGAGAAAAACCCCAAGTTAGCATTTGACATGACAGATCTGTGACAAGGTGCCGGTTCTCCCAGCTCTGCCACCGGCCTCCTGTTTACGCTGTTCTCCAGTATTATTTTCCTGGAGTAGTAAGGTCTGTTGCAGGGGGCGGAGCTTGAGTACTGCTGCTAGCATCTAGGCTTGCTGGACAGGTTGTTCAGGCTGCCTAAGCCTGGGGTTTCCATTTGCACTGTGGGGACAGCAGCACAGCCTGTGCATCACTGCAGAGGTCCCCGACTCACACAATAGGCATGCAGTGAGTGATGGCTTCCTCCCCCTCCTTGGGTACTATTTTTAAAGCCTGTAACATCAGGGGACAAATAGTCTCTTCAATATGAACAAGATTGAACTACTTTTCACGAATAGAAGTCATTCCTAAGGAACATCAGAGGCCACAGGGAGGAAAGTTCAGCAAGGTGACCATATAGGCCTTTGAGGACTACAGCACAGACTGGCATCTACAGCTCAGAACTAGAAACGGAGGCACAATACACAAATATGTGAGGTCGAGAGACTACATATGCTACTTGCTAGGCACCATGTGCTTGCATAACTCCAGTCGGCTCTTGCTTTTGTAGCCTGGGTTTTCATCTGCAGAATGACTATGGGCCAATGACTAGAGGATCTAGGGACTCTTCTGAGGACAATGAATGGAAGTGCCTAGTACAGTGCTCCATTCTCTATTTCACAATACTACAAAGTGCTTTCCAGTCCATCTCAGAGAAAGTGCAGTTCCAGGTCTCCCAGGGCTTGCTCAAGACCACACAACTATTCAGTAAAGGGACGAGTCCGGACCAAGGGCCACATGGATTGAAGCTTTTGTCCTTGTTTTTTACCTCCGGCAAGTATTCCACAGTTTAGAAGGCCTTATTAGAAAAGATGGCTGATGCAGCACAACCATTCTTAGAAATCACAAAAATATTAATAGCCAAATACTCTTCTAAATTGGAAATCTTTTCCATAATAAATTTATAGGAATACATGTACTTCAATGTACTTCCAGTTAACCTGGGCTGGAAAACAAGGATCCTTATGTTATTGATCAAAATATGCAATTACAAACAACACAAAATGCTCACACAACTCAGACTTATCTTCGCTAATATCACAAAGATGGCAAATTGGGAACTAACTCTATGGTCAACTTCCAGGAGGGAACAGGCTGGCAGTCTCAGAAATAGCCTAAACCTTTCTTTGTCCTGTGTGAACTTCCAAGCATGTTTGGTGGGCAGAGTCTTGGGCTGAGAAACTTTCCTTTGTGCAGATTAGAAGTAAATTGAGTTCTGTCTGGCATATAAAAGCTAATTTATTTCTTTATTTCCTGAGTGTAAGCCAAGGTTTCCATGATGAGTAGCTGGAAATATTATAGTTAATGAATGTTCACATCTATCTATCATCTATCTATCATTATTGATTGATCTTCTATCATCAATACTATCTATATGCATCTATCCTCATTATCTCTCTATATATTTATCTGTATCTATCTTTCTGTCATCTATAATTTACCTGTATGTATAGACACACATATATATCATCTATCATCATCATCTTTCTATCTATATCTATCATCTATCCCTATCTATATGTATCTGTCCTCTACATATGTATGTATGTATCTATCTATCATCTGTTATCAATGTGTGTATGTATGTATCTATATCTATCTATCTATCTATCTATTTTTTCTCTGAACTCCTCTGATTATGCCACTGATTTAGGGATGAACTCCTTAGTGCTTTATTGCCACTGGGTTCAGTTATGCTTCTATAACCAGTAAGGACACTTTTACAGGCAACTTCATTTATTAGATTATTTGACTATGGCAGAAATAAAAGCCATAGAAAAAATGAATTTATCTTCTAAAATTCTGACACTGGTTTGTTCTTTTTTATTGAAGGTGACATATTAAAAGAATAATTTCAGCCCCTAGAAATGTCTGTGTTTCTGGAAGGCAATCCTAGGTCCCAAGCATGTAACCATGTTGCTGGCAATTCCACAACGGGTATTTCTAACTATCCACCATGGTGCCCACGTGCAGTGTTTTGAATCGGGCTAGAGTGTGGAGTGCAGTTTGGACCATAAAGAGGAATGAAGCACAGGATTCAAGAGCATGACCTTAGCTTTCATAAGTTTTTATACTCTCATTATCTGAGGTACAACTGAAGGTACAACTAGACATATACCTGTCAAGGAAAAGACAATAAGGTGCCGGGAATGAAGGAGCACTGAACTTAGGTATACTACTGTTGACCTTGGACCCCTCTCCTTCTGTGGCTGTAACTAAAATTCCTCAAAACCTTAAGGCAAGTTAAGGAACACTGATGACACATCATTTTTATAAATTGCAACTTCATGTAGACATGAAGACTCTGTCCAGTGTGCATTCTGAGATGAATATGGGCAAGCCTGTAGAGCACAGTTAACTGGAAGAGAGTTATTTGGCTTGGTGTACTAGGAACTTTCTCCGTAGGCTGCAATCTGTGTTACTTCAGAATTAACTCTCTTTGATCTTAAATGATTTCATCTATAAAACCAAGACCAGGTTTCTATGTGACACTGTAAAATGGACAAATTGGTATCTGAAATATATGAAGAGTTGAAAATTGTTACCATGGTAATTTCAGCATCTCTATCAGTAATAGTTATAATATTAAATACAACCATTAGCCTTTGTAAGCCTGCAAATAGGTGTCTATAAGTGCTTATGACTGAATGTTTTACTGATATATTTGAGCAATATTCACCTAACTGATTATGAACATATATAATGATCAAATTGTCAGAGAAAAGGGTGTGATGTCTACAGACATGACAAGGTCTCTGGCTCATGGACAAGCTGCATGGATCGACCTCAAGTCCACAGTGTTCCACAAACTTTCTCTAAGATCACATTCCATTTGTCATGTCCGCAATTAACACATAAAAGTGGCCAGTTAGAGGAAACTGAAAGGCTAAAGATGATAACAATTTAAATATGATCCCTGATGCTTAAAACCAGATACTAAATGAGAGAAGCCTAAAATGTCATTATCAATGTACAAATCAGAAGACAACATTGTTTAACCATGGAATTTTCCATACTTAGCCAAGATAACGAAGATTCTCTGACCTGAAACTTGTCCTCTGTCAATATGTTTTTGTATCTTTGAAAATAATATCCAGGGGTATTCCTAGAATTCTAATTATAAAAGCATGATCTATAAGTAATACTAACTTCTATTTGTTTAATTTTTAAAATAAATCTTTTACTTATTATCATTTTATGTTGATTCCTGAAATGTCACATTCAGTAATGGGTATATATTTAATGGGATATGTGCATGTCGAATTCCAGTCTTTATTAGTCAAGCCTTAAACTTTTCATAAATTATTGAGGTATTTGCATGACTGACACCTTAGTCTCATGTACAAACCAATGAATGATACTTCAACTCCTGGATGGAAGTGATTGCCAGCATTTGAGAACTGTGAAGACACAAACCTTAAGACCTTAAAGTAGTAGCTACATTTTATTCATCCTGAATAGGATGTCTGAAGAGTGAGCAAAGGACTGAGTCAATGTATTATAAAGATAAGCTTTAATGACTTATTTCACAAGTATAGGCACAGATGTGTCTTTTCTATATTGTTCTCCCACTGAAGAAGCTTCAAGGATAAGAACTTTGGTCACTTTGACAATATATTGCTCTAAGTAAGCATATAAACATGTTAATGTCATAGAACACTCACATTGAGTTATGTTATTACTATTACATTTTGGAGCTAAATAATATTATACATAGTGATAAAACAAATTATGTATTAATGTCTTAGCTATATGTACAGACAAAAATATGTGTGTACATATATCATTAATGAACATTACACTGACTTTTATCATTGGAAAGTTATCTTAAAGCTTAAATATGCCCTGTAATTTAAAGGATTCTTTTAGAAATTATCCGTCTACTCAGACAGACTCTAGTTTTATGGCTTAGTATCTTCTACTTTCTACACAAAGAGGCATAACATAACCATGACTTGAAGAAAGCCCGGGCTATAGTCAAGTTGTGTCTATAGACCCTAAATAGAATCTGATTTAAATAAATACAGCCTTAATAAGTGAATATTGAGTGAAACAGTGTTTGTTTTTTGTTTCCAAAGCCAAATACACTTTAACAGCCACAGTTACTGGCTATTCTCCACATACTAAGAATGACTTTTGGTAACAGGAATATATAAAGTTTGGGCCATGCCTTTTTGCTACCTGCAGTGGAGTGCTCATTCATTTCTAAGAGGCCATCTTCCTCATTCTTGTTGTCTGGGTTTCCCTTGCAGTCCATGTCTGGGCTGTAGTGCCGGGGTTTCATTAATAGAGATTTCCTCTTGTTAACTGGCACTCCCAGTGCCTGCTCTTCAGCTCTCCTCTTCTTTGCCATAGAGCAATCATATGCAGCCCTGGAGTGAGCAGAGCAGGGAAGATTAAGAACATGGTAAAACGCACTTGTGGTTGCTTGACATTTGACTTTCACCAAGTCTACCACAAAGCACTTGGAAACCTGAGACCAGAATTTCATCATTAGTACTAACAGTCTTGCTGAGAAATCTACTTTACTGTCCACCAGGAATATTTCAAAACTCACCCTTATTATTGAGTAAGCATATATCAATCTGAGCTTCACTTCATTACATACTCTGGTTTGCAATCCCCATGAAACAAATAGTGTGAAAAACACACCACCAGGTACAAAGATTGTGCAGTACGGTAAAACCATGGGTTCTCCAATAGTAACATAACACTAAAATTGCTTATCTCTGTTACACCTATGCCTCAAATTTGAGATACCATAGGTCTGAGGCCCTGGTTTGACTGACAGAGAAATCGAGTAAGGGAACTAGCTATGGACATTCAATCAACCCATCTCCAGTGACACAAAAATGTGAAGAATTGTTATACAGAAATGTACCTTTGAATTCTCACTCATTTGGCACACATAACAAATAAAAGGAGGATAAATAAGATTTGGTTTCACAAAAATGGCCAACAGTTTATCCTTCTTCCTGTTCTCACATGGTTCTGTTTGGAAATGCTCCCGGGGAGGCCCTTTCAACACAGATTTCCTACATGAACCTCACTCAGAATTAATGCAGATTACTGTGTGAAGTTAGGCAAATCACTCTCCTGGTAAGATCTGTGAAGATCAGAGGATTTCAACAATAGTGAATCTATGACAGATATTGTTATATGCTCTTTGAAGATAAATGAGTGAGCATCATTTGAAAAAACATCCAAGAGGAAGAATCCTGGAAGCAGAGAAACAATTTACTAACTCCAGCTCTGAAAAAAAAAACTGGGTAATAGTAACAACTGGTTAGAAGCCCTTGTCCTTCTCTAATATGAACACTATACAGAGATGGTGGCATGTTCAGACAAACAGTTCTGTAAAGTGAGATATACATTCTTAATATAAATAAGTAAATGGAAACACTTTCAAAAGAGGGAACATAAAAAAGAAAAAAAGAACCTATAAGGAGAGAGGCATAGTAGTTATAAACATCTCATAAAATGTGGAAACCAGTGAACTAAAAATTATTCAGATAGGAAGAGAGGAATAAGTTTTCCTAAATAAACTAATGACTTTTCATAGTTTAGAACCCTGGTTTAAAGTGTACAAGTATAAGAAATGCAAAAAAGGAAAGGATACATGACCAGATAGTAATAAGAGCCCCAGAAGGGGGGGAACTATGTGGACTGAATCTGCTAGTCTAGGAAAGTGCAAGTCTACATACCATGCTGATGTAAAGAGAATGGCCATAGGCAGACAAAACTGCCCTTTACACCTACCGTCCTAATAAGGAGCTCACCTTTGAAGGACAGGTCAAAAGTGAGGTAAGGGATGATAGGTATGTGAAGAGAGTTCAAGAAATTCTCAACATTTCAAAATCAAATGAATTTCCACACCTCTCTCCTTGAAAAATTTCAGAAAATATTCAGGCAAAATTGCTAAGGATTTCTCAAGAACCAGGACAATTTATAGAAAGTAAGGGAGACTCTTCTGTGGTTTAAGAGTTGGAGTGATTAAGTTAGTATTGGAGAAGAGGCTAACAAAATATATTAAAGTGAAGATTTAATTAGGAAGACTCCTGATTTAATTGTTTTGTAGAAATATCCAGAAATTGGATTGATGAAGCAATGGTAGCTCTATTTTTGAGGAGTTGTCACATTGATTTGAATGTTTTGTGTAGCACTCTTTATAGTGACCAATATGTGGAAACACCACAGATGATTGGACATCACTTTCTGATTTGATATGAGGTGTGGTCCACAGAAGAGATTTCATGCCTGGTACTCTCTCTATATATATATATGTTCAGAATCTCATGACTTGGAAGATCACAGGCCCTCGTGGGGAAAACTATTGTTGTTATTATGCTAAATAGGTATGCTATCAAATTGCCTTCCAGAATATTTGTTTACACCAATTGATTTATTGTACTCAACTTTGGTCAGAGAAGTTTATTCTTTTTAGTAGGTAACAGTTAATGAAGCAAGTCAAAATTCATCAAATGATTGAGTATAAGTAACTGTGAGAGCTCAGCTGTGGATGAATCATCCACATTAACCTCCCCTATCCAAGGCCCAGGGAGCATCAAGAATGAATGGAATGTAAGAGCTGGAGGGCCAGGAAGACATGGCTGTTGTCCATATCAACTTATAGCAGCTATAGTTACTTGCATAAGACCTGCACAATATGAAGTCATTCAAAATTCCAACTTAAATGCAAGGAGGTGCCACAGAGGCCTCGCCCTTGTGGTAGCAGCCACTGGAAGCTAATGGTTACAGGAAGAGCAAAAGTCACTCTTCTTTTGGGACATAGTTGCCAATAGGTAGTCAATATCCCACTAGATGATTCCACTCATACACCCTTGGGAACCACTAACTGGACTTGGGGTCATTAATAACAACAACAGTAAAGTAAGGCCTTGAAGTTGGGAGATGGAATGGGGGCACTAGGGGGAATCGGAGAGAGGTAGTGGTGGATGTATATGATCAAGGTACATTATATAAAATGTATGATGATTTGAAAGAACAAATAAAAACATTATAACAAGGAATAGTAGTTGCTAAGTGTTGAAGAATAGAAGTGAAGAATTACAAATAAACAGATACAAAATTTTAATTGAACAAAATTATAAACACAACTTTCTCAAGTCAACAATATGTATCACACACTTACAAATGTGTTTAAAAAGATGAATCCCATGTGAAACAGCATTGCTATCATAACATTTAAGATGAAGGTATTGGAGGGAAGAGATTTGTTGGCACCAGCAGCCATTCATCATGCTCTACTTAGGAAAGGCTAGTCAGACAGGAAAATATCATTTCTTTCTTTAATGATGGGAGATGCAAACATGCTGGCTAATTCTTCAGACTTTGTCCTTTTAAATAATGTCATATATGATTATTCATTTTCACAAAAAGTAAGCAAACACACACAAGAAACTAGTAACTGGTGGGACGTACAGTTGAATCCAGTGTGCAGGGTCTCACGGCTTGTTTTGTCCTTCATATTGCCAGACCAGAATAATAGACTTAGACAAATTCTGTATGCATTTGACAATATATAGGAACAGAACACTCTAACTGAAGGAAGTTGCTAGCTAGTGATTTTAAGGTAGACCTCCATGGCACTGATGATATTGCACTGCGGCAATTTAAAAAATAACATGGCAAGGGTTGGGGAGACAGTGCCTCAGCTATGAGCAGGTGCTTCTCAGGACCCAAATCCAGCCCCTAGTGCCTACATCAGACTGCTTACAGCTGCATATAGCTCCAGTTCCAAGGGGTGGGAGACTTGATTCTTCATTGCAGTGGCTTTTACTTTCCACATAAGCACACACTGCTACCCCCCCCACATACAAGCACAATTAAGGTAAAATTAATATTGAAAAGGTAAAATTTGATTATGACCTGAACTGGAGAAGTAGCTTTGTCCTTAAGAGATGGCTGTCAATGGTGATGAAAATCAAGCTCAATATGTGGACCAAATAATACTTTTGCAAGTATAGGATGAAGAGTTATGTAAATGTTTTAAAAATCAAAAGTACAAACTTTTGCTTTCTAAAAAAATGTTTATGACTATTGATAAACACTATTCTCAGTTTTGATGGGAAAGCTTCTTCTCCTTGAACAGTGGCAAATACGAAGACTCATGGCTGTTCTGAGTGCTGAGAATATGTGAGCACTCAGTTCTAAACAGGACATTTATCTCACCCCTCACCCCCTGTAAGGCTCAGTGAACACTATATGATGTTGACAGAAAGAATGCATGAGCTGGATCATAAGGCGAAGGAGGGTGAAATACTACCTTCTGGGCAAGAAAGCCATTGGAACCTGTTCTCACAACATCAGAGTGTGGCTGCACTGGGCCTGTACAAGACTGGCCTGTCATAGTCACTCATGGATAGAAAATTGGCTCACAAAGCATCACTGGCTAGTTATAGATATTAGGGGAGGGAGAGATCATTATCTTCAGTTATGTTCCCACCAGATTTTAGTGACATTTCCACACCCACAATAGCCCTGGTTAAATTTAGTCATAAAACAAGAAGACATGGATACAGAAAAGAGACTTGCAGTTGGAATGACAGGGGTGGAAGAGAGAGATAAGAGGGTGGAGTAAGAATGATTAGACACAAATAGACAATTATGAACTGCTGAAGAACAAATTTAATTAGTTAAAAAAGTACAGGTTTAGATTTGTCTTCTATTAAGGGTACTGAAGCATATTAAATAATCCTAGATGTTGGATCTTTTGGAACATTGAATTTCCTATCTAGCAAATGTGTTATATTATGTGTTATGGTATCTGTGCTGACAAACCAGGTCAAGACAGAACTCCATGGCTCCTAGTTCACTGCCCCCATGCTCCACTGGCACCAACCAATGCTGCCACTTTTCAGCCCTCTGCAGACTGTGAATGCACACATGTCCATGACAGCATTCTATTTTTCACTTTCTATTTACATTTGCAAAAATTAGGTTTACACATAACATTTGCTTTAAATCTCACATTCTGTGCATTTCTCTATTGCAAAGTACTCACAGCCCAGACAGCATTTGGAGCTAAAATGAAAGGCTTTATAATAAATATTACCCTTTGTGTGTGCATAGAAAATGGTCCCTTTCTAGTTTTCCCTGAGGGCACACTATTTTGGCTTTATTGTGACACTTCACTGTGACACTGCAATGAGGGAAAGCCATGCTTTACATGTCATGGAGAGAAATGCCACAAAATGCTAACATATCTTCTCAAGGTTGCCAGAAATCATTTCCACTGGGCTGTGTTTTCCCATCTGCAGAGCTCTGAAATGTAAAGAAAATAAATGAGCTCTATTATCTATATTTTTCTAGCAGATGAGAAAGAAACAGAAAAAATACAGTCAGCTCTGCA